CCCCCACACGCCCCCTTTTAATAGAGGGTCCTCCATATAACTTCTTTGTCTTTTACCCTATCTGTTCTTGGTTTTTTTTTTGTAGTTCTGGTACAATTTAAAAATTTAACGTGCCTCAAAGCAACGATGAGATACAGTTTGAGGTCGTCAGGAGAGTTGAAAACGAAAAAAAAAGAACAACAATTAGCAGCTGACACTCAGGTATGGTTTTCTTTTTTTTTTTTTTTTTTTTTTTTGCGCGCGAGTGCGGCTGTGACCTCACACGTCGACAAGTCCTGCTAACAAAACGGTGCGAACTAGACTTTGTTCAGCCTCATCGGAACTTTTGTTTTGTTTTGCCAAACGTATAACTGTTAATGAAGCAAATTTGTATACTGTATTGAAAAGCACTTATTGTTCAGCACACCGTTGGAAAACCCAGACTTGTTTTCCATACACAGACGTGGGCCTATGACGCCACCCACTCAGTATTTGTGACCTTTCCTTGTCCACAAAAAGAGCAAAAGACAACACAAACCTGCCTTTTTTTTATAGCATACAACACTGGGAGCTGCAGAGTAACTCACTGGACTCTTATTTAAAACCAAAAAAACTGTACTCATTTAAGATCCTGCTGATGTTGAAGTAGCGTGCACATGTCTGAGGAAGAGGAGGCCAAAAAAAAAAAAAAAGTTTTTTTATTTCTTTCTGGGAGAATACTTTGAATTTGATCACGTAGCGTGGTCGGAAAAAAAAAAAAAACGCCTGTCAAACTTGCAAAAACAAAAAATGTCACGCTGGCAAGCAAGCATACCACAAATAGCGGCGCACTGTGCTTCCAACACTAACTCAACACCAAACTGTTGTTGTCCAACATCCTGTTATGGAAGACCGTGAAAATCAATGTAATTTAAACTATTTTACTATATTTACGTGGTCGGATATCTGTATATATATGTATATATATATATATATATCTATTGAGTCCAACTGATTATATGCTTTTTATGTTGTTGTTTATGGGGGAATACTGCATTGGAGCTGGAAAACAAACAAAACCCACACTGGGGAAATTTGTCATGAATTTGTTCGGCAAAGACAATGCTTTACATGTTCATCTGTCAAGACTGAAATGTGCTACTGTTGATTTTGTGCAAATTCTGTTCTATTGTCGAGGCCACTGAGAACGTAAAAGCCGCCTTGTTAGAGTTTGTCGAACCGTCTATGGGCCTCAGGGGGGCAAAGAGGGCAGTGTTACATTCTTGTTTCAATGAAACACCGTGTACATCCTGTAATTAATGTCCGATTAAATTCAAAGTTCCTCTATAACAAGGGCCGGTTGCTGTGTTTTGTTTTTTGCTTTGCATCAGGAATTTTTTTATTTTTATTTTTTAAATGGCTCATCATTTCCCAATTGATCAAAAGAAAATCCATAATCCAGGTCACTCATTTTTTATTGGCAGAAAGGCTTTTGGTGTTCAGGTTACGACCCTGTTCAGGCTTATATATATATATGATAGTGTATTATTAAAATATTTTATCTCATGGTAATCAGTCTTACTCAAAATTTACAAAGTGGCATCAATATTAAGTATTTTAACCCTTTCAAGCACAGCGGTTACTACAGTGGACAGCTAATCACGTGATCAGATTACAGGGTGCATGAATGGGTTAACAAGCGTGAACGTAACCACGAAATACGATTATTTTAATATAGTGCTGCCCCTTGGTGGTCAACATAGAAGTTCAACTGCCATTGTGCGGTCCAGCGGTGCCTTGAGATCCAAGTTCAATTGGTTCCGTGACCTCAATATTGGAACAAATGGGAAAAGCCATTGTGTTTGCGCCTCGGCCACCAGAGGGCAGTGTAACAGTTATCCTTCCACCATTTGCGCTCAAATAGCTTTGGTTTTGCATTGTTTGAATATTAAACTGATTTATCAAAAGCAAAGTTACGGAGTGACTATTTAAAAAATAATATTAAAAAAAAAACCTAACCGTAAACATGACTTGCAAGTGGCACGAAACAACTCGAAGGCAACTTTTGACAATGAGCGACAGCTCAAGATATCAAAAAAAAAAATATTGAGCCGGCTCACTCGTGTCTCAAGGCACAACTGTAACTGAATCATGTGTAATTGAATCGGCTCGTGATTTAACTAAGCCATCGATTCCCTGCCAATTTGCATCGCCGCGACGCCAACAAGAGCAAGAAACAAGCAGAACGATTATACGCTCTTCCGCTAGATGGCGTAATTTCACCTGTTGCTATTCTTACAAGATAAAGTACATCAATCCTTTGCCAGTCCCCCCAACCCCCCAATTAAAACCCACAGCCAATCAGGAAGCAGCTACTTTATTTCACTACTCCCTGGATACGTTGCACAGTTCATCTTAATGCATTGGACAATCATTAAACTTTCAGGCGGGGTTCATTTAACCTGATTCGTCCCCTCCCACAACATTTTATATTCCAGACTAATCGCTGACTGGTTATCCGATGATGTCAGGACTAGTCTTTCATCTGAAATATTATAGATTTTTTTTTTTTTTTTTAAAGAACATATTTTAATAGACTGTGTAATCACGATTCCATAAAGAGGAATTTCATTGTACCAGCCAGAAGACTCTATCCATACTAGTAGACATGACATTGCAGTTTTTTTTTCTTTGTATCAAATCTCCCTCCCGCCCAACCCACTGAATGCAACACCCCCGCGCTCCCCTTACAGTAGATCTGCAGGTCGGAATCTATGCAAAATAAAGGGCTCTTGCATTACAACTTCTGATTGGGTCTTTTTTTTTTTCCTAACAAAATATGAAAATCTATAGAAACAAAATCTATATAGTTCAATAAAAGGTAGAGATATCAAAAAAAAAAAACAAAAACAAATGATGGCTCTCTTGTCATCGTCGAGTTTGGAGATGAAATTGCAGCTCCGGGAAATTGCACTTGAGCTGCACGCAAAAGGGTCGGCGAGGTGCCGATTCACTTTTTGCGCGCGTGCTTGTATTTGTCGACGTAGGCCTTCACCAGGTTGGCCACCTTACTTGAGTTGACCTCGCCGCTCTTGCTGTGACACACCTGGGCGTATAAAAACAACAACAATATGAAATCAGGTAAGATCTACGTTGCGGCCGGAGGAAGTTGCGATCTCCCAAAAAGCGTACCTTCTCGACTGCTTTGCGGACGATCTCCTTGTACTCGTCCTTTGTGATTTCCTTCTTTTGGTAGTAAGGTTTGATCGCCGTCTTCACTTCATTTATAGCTTTCTCTTGGATCTGTTGCTTCTTCAGCAACAACAACAACAACAACAAAAAACGAAAACGGATCATATGACAGAAATGCACATCAAACGCTCATCCTCAACGCAAAACGGGAGATGCCGAGGTACCTTTTCTTTTTTGGAGCTGTCGGCTTGAGCCTTGTGATGCTGAGCTGGCTGCGTTGTCGATGACGGCAGCACCTGGTTGGCGGCTTGCTGGCCGACTTTGGTTGGAGTGGAAAGCAGGCCCGCTTTGCCGTAAGCGCCCATCGTGTTCACCATCTTGGCAAATAAAACAGATCAGGGATTTTCCTGCATGTAAAATTTGCATTCGAAACCATACACAAACTCAATGGAGCCACCTAGTGGTGGGAGGCATCATTTTAAATGCCTCATACGGTACCTGCGTGATTTGCCCATCGGGCTGAGCTGCTGTCGTCTGGCCCCCTTGCTGCATGGGAGGGGGCGGCGGCGGAGGCGGGGGCAGCCCCTGGGTGCCGACGGCGGGCACCTGCAGCAGCGGCACGGCGGGGTGGAGGTGCACGGGGATGGGAGGGGTCACGGCGTACGGTGCTGAGGGCTGCAAATTGACCGGCACGGGGCCGCGGGGGCCCTGCAGGGGGAAGTGATGATGAAGGACATTCAGCTGCGGAGGCGGCGGCGGAGGCATGGCGGTCAGCACGGGTGCCGGTGGAGCGTTGCCCGGCGCAGTTGGTGCAGGTTCACTCTTCGCCGGATCTACAAGTACAAGGCGAAGAGGCGGTTCCAATTCAGACTTTATTTTGGAGGGTGGAGGCACCTTGTGTGTCAAAATAACCTTTCCCCATTGAAATGAATGGAAAGACCATTAATCCGTTCCAGCAACCCCTAAATATTCTTGTCAAACACTTTTTAATGAGGGAAATCGCATATGTGCGGTTGCCGTACACATTGCACTTAATCTAACTTGTATGAAGTGATCCAAAACTTTGGACAGACTTATTGCGACACGGAGTGGTTCTCGCTTTACCTGCTGCAGGCTGCTCCTCTTCAGGTCGAGTCCAGCTTCCCGCTCCCCCTCTTTCCCTCTTGGAATAATAATCCTGAACATCAGCGGGAAGTGTCCGCCGCACCGCCCAGCTGGACGCCGATGACCAGCCCGAGCGGTCCAGCATCGAGTCGCCCGGGTCTGACTCCGGTTTTCTGCGGCCGCCCCCGCGATTCTCGTTAAAGCGACTGTAGGCGTCGTTCCCTGAATTGTTGCCCATTCCTGAGTTGCTCCGAGGCTGCCTCCGGTTGTCGTCCTCCTGTAGTTGGCTGTGGAAGCCGCGGTTACCACCTCCCCGGCCGGCGCCGCGGCCTTGCTCGAAGCCGACGCGTCCCCTCGGCCCGCGATCTTCCCAGCGAGAGCCGCCCCCAAAATCCCAGTTCCTGCCCTCGACTTCGCCGCGAGTTTTTTCTGTCACCCAGTCGGGATTCTCCGACCAGCCTTGGCGTTCCGGCGACGTTTCCGAAGGGACGCCGTTCTCAAAGCGAGCGGCGTTGCCGTGAGAGCGCCGTCCATCGCGGCCGTTCCCCGCCCTCCAGCCGCCCCTTCGCTCTTTCCCCCGGGGGGACCGATCTCTGGACGCCGGCCGCTCGGGGCTGTATCCTCGTCTGTGTGATCTCGTTCTGGATGGAGACCGCGACTTGGATCTCGAACGACTCCTGGATCTTCTTCTCCTCCTCTCACGGCTACGCTCCCTCCTGAAGTAGTCCCTGTCCTTGTCTCGCTCGCGCTCTCTTTCTCTGCTGCGGGGGCGGGAAGAGTGGCCGGAGGGGGTGCCGCCGGTCCGCTCTCTCGAATGCGAGCGGGAGCGCCCGTACGACTCTCGTCTGGAGTCCCTCTTGGGCGACCAGGCGGAGGTCGGGGAGTGGAAGCGAGAGCGTCGTTGTCTGCCGTTCTTCCTCCCGTGGCTCGGGTCTCTCTCCGCTTGGTCTTTGGACCTCTCGTCGGGAACAGAGACTGAAGTCTCCGCGGCGGCGGGCTCTTTCGCTTCCTCCAAAACGGTCGCGCTAACGGCCTCGCTCATGGGTGAACTGCAGTCCATCGGAATGACATTCGTATCATCTTTGGAAAGATCGTCATTTGTGACGACTTCTCCCAAATTCGGAACTACTAAAGGCGTTTCTCTTTCGGGCGTTTCAGAACCCTCAAATGCTTTTGCTTCTTGTTCAGCGACCTTGGCTTCGGAAGGTTCAGCACATGGAGAAGCCGGCTTGGGGCTTTCATGTGATTGTCTCTGCAGATCCCGCGATGCCTCCTCATCATTGCTTTGATCCAACCTTTCTTCGCCGACCTCCGTTTTACAGTCCTGTTCAATCACGTTGTCGAAATCGGGAGACATTAGGTTATCCAGAGTGCTCTCCGGTTCGGATGGCGGCGATGCGGTTATTTTCTCCTCGTCTCCGGTGGAAATTGACATGACAGTCGGTTCCTCTCCTTGTGTGCTCAGTTTGCCAGAGCACTCCGACTCGGGGCTTTTTGGAGGGGAGTCCAAAGATATGGACAAGTGGCTGTTGTTCTCATCCGGTTCTGGTTGCTCATGACAGTCTTTATCGAGTGCATCGTTAGTGTCGTGCTCCATATTACTGCTTAAAGATTCGGCAGCTTGTTGCCCATCAAGTGAATCACTGTTCAAGTGGTCCGCGTTAAGACTTCCTTCTGCATCGGAAGGCTGATCTGAGTTGTTCATCTCAGGCTTCGCTTCGTCTTCCGCCTCTCCCCTGTCGGTGCCGTCGCCAGCGTCACCCTCGTCGTCCTCGCTCGCAGGCTGGTTCTCAACAGGTTCGGACGACGGCTTTTTTCTCGTGTTTTTCCTCTTGCCGCTGGCCTTTCGGTTTGTTACCTGTTTGCCCTTCCGTTTGGCTGCCACCTGAGATGCCAAGCCCGCCTTGGAGGCCTGGCTGGCGGAGGAGTCTGAGTCGGACACACTGGGCTGTGGCGGTGATGACGGGTGGGACACGGAAGACTCCTCCTGGTCTTTACTGTTACGTCCTGATCGTCTGGACGGGAGGGATTCGTCTTTTTTGGTGGGCGCTTTGGAGTTTGAGGCTCTTCCGCCTCGCTTGTCTCCTCCTTTAGGACAGGTAATGGCGCAGACAACACCTTGGAAAGCTGTGACAAAACCAACTGCGTGAAAATATGAACGCAATGGTGGCTTCAGATACTGATGACATTTGTTCCACGTCGATGCTTAGAAATTTGTATCTCAAATCATCTTTTCCCATTGAAAGGAATGGAGATGGCATTAATCTGGTTCGGTCTCCTTCAAGTCAAATACAACTGTATAATATTGCACTTAAAAAAAATGATACAATTAAATAAAATGTCCATAATTAGATCGAGTTTGTCACATTGAAAGGAATGGAGATGGCATTAATCTGGTTCGGCCTCCTTCAAGTCAAATACAAATGTATAATATTTCTGTATTATATTTTTTTTGCTTCAATTTAATGGACTACGCCAAGATAAGCACTCCTGGTGTGCAGAACTTGGCCACATGGGGGGAGTATATAACAGACATAAGCATCCATCCGGACAAAGTAAGTTCATATTAGTCATTATTTCCGGAGGATAAAGAATATATGCCTCTGAGTATTGTGATATTAGGTTTGTTTAGGTCAGGGGTGCGCAACTCTGGTCTCAAGGCACCGCTCTACATGTTTTTTTTTTTTTTTAAATATATAACACAAAGCAAAATACGGGATTAGTCATTATTTCCGGAGGATAAAGAATATATGCATCTGAGTATTGTTATCTTAGGTTTGTTTAAGTCAGGGGTGGGCAACTCTGCACTCAAGGCACCGCTCTACATGTTTGTTATATATAACACAAAGCAAAATACGGGAAAAAAAAGTCTATTTCTTGAGGACACACACCAACTGGTCAGACATACCAAAATGACCAGGCCCAAATGATGAAGCGGAGGTAATAGGAGATGAACAGAGTTCAAATGTAAATGGACCGTGGTTGCTATTAGCAGAGAGGAACCTGTGGGAAAAGAGAACGTGTGTTATCAGCTGTAAAAAAACAAAACAAAACAAAAAAAAAGATCCTCCTTAAAGTCCATAAAAAAAAAAACAATACGAGAGTGGTACATAAGATTCCATTACCTTGAGGTTCCAATCGCGCAAATGGGAGCAGCAGGAGAGAACCACGGGCACTCTTGTACCTGGCGTTTGCACTGCTCTGCTTCATACGATATTTCTTCCGTCACCAGCACAGGCTCTGTTCTGCAAGACAATGATCAGGTCACGATTCATTAAAACTTTACATCGTGGAGTCAAAATATTCTTGACTGAAAATCAAAGCTACTGTGCCGTAAAAATCTCGAATATTTAATCTTCTAATGGGTGCTCGTGTACCGCACAGCATTTGCTATACCACTTGACCACTATCACGAAATACTTTATGGACGTTCATTCATAATGGAAGCATGACTTACATGTCCTGTGTTGCTAATGAAAGAAATGTAGACGATGGCCAAGCACAGCACTCCGATCCTCTCACCTGGAAAGCAATGTCATACATTTTTAAAAAGTGGGGTAAATTAACAGCATAAATACCGAAGCGGGAGGAAAAATAAAAAATAAAATAAAATCAAAAGCCTACCTTTTTCCGGCTTACTGAAGATGGGTCATCATCATTGCCTGGTAGAGGAATTGACATATTACAAATGGATGAAAATCAAGCTTGAATCGTATCCATACTGAAGAGTGAGAACGTACATTTCCGTACAAGTCCTTTCGTTTTCGAATCGGCCATCTTCTCTGCCCTTTGCTGCCTAGACCTCTTTCTGAGTTTGCTTCTAGGAGGAGAAAAAAATTGTAAAACTCTAATGTTGCCTAAAACATTTAGATAAATGAGATTTAAAAGAAAAATAATAATAAAATATTCACTTGAGACACGCTCTTTGCCCAGGACTTCTACAGACGCAACTCTCAGCTTCAGGTTCAGCCACTTGGCGACTCACTGGAACCTTGAAAAGAACACAAATGCCGACGTCAAACTAACCGCACCAATATTTTAGGTTTGTAACCCATCTTGCAAGACGAAAGAAAGGAGTCAGAGGAAATGTGATGTCAACGATAGATAAACAGACCTGCACACATCGCAGGCTTCCATCCCATCTGTAAACGTTTCTGAACGGCCGTCTGTCCACTGGACAAGAAGGGACCATCTGCAACTGATGAGAGGATACAGTAACAAAAAAACAAGACGAAAAGCAAGCACTCATGCGACTCTACCATACAGTACACATTTTTATGATACTAAATGCAATATTTCAAAGTCACCTCTGCCCAAGTAAGTAGGCATCCCAGGCAGAAGACATGACAGCAGCTGTCCGGCATGGCAAGCTCTCCCCTGGCCGGCACCCCCAAGCAGATAGGACATCGCTCAGCCTCCTCTGCGTCGCTCCCATCAGGGGATGACCCCTGGCCATCTACACGAAAACGGAGGATGACATTAGAATGCACGCCGTAAATCGTCACACATGACAGCGGGCAAAGACTTACCGCTTTCAGCTCCAGTCATGTCCAGCCCCGGGCTGTCACAATCACCGCTACTATAAACAAAAGGGTCAGCTATCAACAACTATCAAGAACTTAAATCAAGCGTTTGTAATAATTGGTGATGAGTTTTTCACATCGTTCTGGAGGAATTTTGTCCCACTCTTCTTTGCAGAATTCTTTCAACTCCACCATATTGGAGGGTTTTCTTTTATGAACTGCCTGTTTACGGTCACGCCACAGCATCTCAATTGGATTTAAATCCAAACTTTGACTTGGGCAGTCCAAAACCTTAGTTTCTTTTGTTGTTTTTTTTTTAGCCATTCAGAGGTAGACTTGCTGGTGTGCTTCGGATCATTGTCCTGCTGGATATCACATAAAAAATATTCCCCAAGAAGGCAATTTTTTTTCCTCGATACAAAAATAAACAAAACAAAAAAAAAAAAACATCATAATATTTCTTCAGAACCCATCAACCAATTTTTTTTCGGTATTGTACTCAAATTGATCTGGCCATTAATCATTTGTACAATTTTGATGGGAAATCTTGTCACGTTGCTAATGCATAATGGACGCATATCAGGTAAATATTTTGTATGGACTAAAATTTATTTTATGTCTCATGTCATCTCCTTTAATGACATATCTTAAAATTATTATGACACTCGTGTATTCAAAGATTCTAATGTGTAATAAATAAATAATATTATGGAATGAAAAAGTACAGGAAGGGCAGTAAATCACAGGACAAGCTCAAGATTGTCATATTTAATCGCCCCATTGAGGCTTCTATGGGAACTGCGAACACAGTTGTGAAACTAATTAGCTTTCGTTTGTTCCGCTGTCCATACAACACGAAGAACTAGCATTAGAATTCATTTAATAACTAAACCATGACTAAGTGACACCCATTTGGGGCTCCGTTGTGTTTTAAAGTCCCAATTTAGAAATGAGCACAGTACTTCGTTGTTATTGGTTAGCAAGTGAGCTAATGCTAACCGAAACCAAAAATAGCTACCATAATAGCTTCGTGGCTATTAGCTCAGTTAGCAACTCCAGGCTAAATCGAGGCTATAATTAGCGACTCTCAATGCAATGAAGGTCGTAGGTTGGCTAGGTGGCTAATGTTGAGCTTAGCTTACTAGCCGCTTTGGGATAACAACACAACACCTGCTTACGTCGTTATAAGAAGCTAACACTTGAGACTAGTTAGCAAAAGAAGCCACAGTGGCTTACTCACCTTTAAAGTGCCCCCGTGCCTTTTTTTGGATGCGCCGAAACGCTTTCTTCGTGCAAACTTTATTTTTTTTCCTCCAAGCAAATGCTAACAGATCGCTAAGCTACTCGTTGAATTGTGGTACTTGTTGTTTGAGGCTAAAAACCGAGCAAAGATTTCACAAATTCTCGGCCACATGTCTCGCGGTGCGGTCCGTAGTTTTTACGAGGAGCTCCCCTGACTGGAGGCACCGAGCATTACACAGAAAAGAGTCATGGAAAAAATAAAAAATAAAATGTAATATAACTGTATATTGTTGTAAAAGTGATTCCTTGATATTATTTAAAGTAACACGTGAGCACCATCTAAAATTGCTTTCCCTCTTGCTGACCAATTTATATGTAAAATCTAACAATTAAAATACGTTGTTAGCTTTTTTGTATGATCTTGTTTGTCTTCCCAGTCACTGTTAAAACATTGTTTAATCACAGAAATATTTTGATTAGCAGTAATTATGCTCTGAAGTTGTGACTCAACATACGTGCAACCTTTTCAGCCATCTCAGAGGAAGAGAAAAAAGAGACCGACATGACTTAGTCGAAAGAACACAATTAAAACTAATTGTTCTGACCATTTTCATAATTTTCCATGTTTATAGCCTTAATGGGGTGGGTCACTCAAACCAATGCAACACTGTTAGTACTTTCAGAAAAAATGTTTTTCTTTTCTTGTTTTATTACACAGCTCATTTCTGTGTCCGTGTTTTACAAGCAACATTTTTTTCCACCACTATATAACATTTCTGCACACGAGTAGGACAACGTTTGCATTTTAGTACGATAGCCATGTAACTAGTTAGACAAAACTCCTAATGGGCATTTTGGTGCTGCTCCGAGCTGTGTACTGTACTAGCAGTGATGAGATATACTAAACTAGATTTTTTTTTTTTTTTAATCATTAAGTATTCTCTGACAACTCTGAAAGACATTCACACTTAAGTACAAGTTATAGTCATCAATTAACTTGAAATGCATGTTTTTGGAATGTGGAAAAAAAAATCCACAAATGAACGTCCTCAAAAAATGTGAGATGCAAACCACTCTCATCGTGCCATCTAAATTAATTAAAAATAAAAAAGTCAGCGGAATCTAAAACTGCCTCAAATGTATTTTAGGAGCTGAAATAATTGGAGTGTGTAGTCAACGGTTCCGTTATCAAAAAGAAGTTAACCATCAACAATAGGAAATCACTTGTGTTTACATTAAAATTCAATGTATATTCTACAAGATAGAAGTATTGGAGCCCCATGTTTCTCAGTACTGTATTTCAAATGAAAGAAATTGGACAATGACCTGAAAAATTTCCGTTGCTGAAACGTACTTAAATTTATAAACAAATCTTTGAAGTAATAGCAACACGCATCCTTTCAAATCAGATTTTTTTTTCACTGCAAATAATATTTAATACAAGTGAAAATCTGTACATTCTCAACATGTTGACAGAAAAAGAAAACTGAGGAAAATGCAAAACGTTCAGTGTTTTTATTTAAAAACTATAAACAGTCACCAAAGTAAATAAAGCCAATCTCTAACAGACTGTTAGGTCTATGTTTAGTCACACATCCTACAGACACGGCAGAAATGAGGATGGTAGGGTTGCGCGCACCCCCCCAACCCCACCCCGGGTCAGATGCTAATAGGACAGGCAGTCATAAATGGTACACAACACACGGTAGAGAGGACAGTCTTGAGGACGTGAGCCGGAATGTGGCATGGGTATTAAGAATGAAAAAATAGTACAATAAAACTCCACACTATATTAAGATAGAAAAAAGTAGTGAAGAAAATATTATACCTGCACGTAAAGCAAAAGAACACAGGAGAAAACCTGTATAAAAACTCCATGTATTTAAACCAATTTACAAATACAAAAAAAAAAAAAAAAAAAATTTGGGTACGCGCACCGTGCCCGTCCAATGACAAAACGTTTACAGTGGATAGATAAATGTCACTTGTTTTGTGTGTGTGTGTGTGTGTGCGTGTGTATTGAGGGGAAGATGTGAAGAAACAAAAAGGGGGGAAATACCTTCAATATTTTTTTTTCTTCTACAAAATGACATGATATATTATTCCATACTCTTTCAGCCAGCAAAATGAGTTCTACAAGGTATTATAATACAAAATGTCACAGTCCCACAAAAAAACTGTTGTTTTTTTTTTTCCCTCTCCCTAGGCTTTACAGCATCAGTACCTTTGCAGAAGTATTTACAGGGTTTTAAGTACATTCATCCACTGCTGAGTATAGAATCACATTAGATACAAGTGACCAGGGTTCATTTAAAAAAAAAAAAAAAAAAAAAAAAAAAAAACAGACTACTTTCTTCAATCCTACCAAAGTAATGCTTCTATTAACACCACAGAGCAAGTTCTCCAGTGGCTGCATTTGTGATGAAAGAGGATCTTCTTTATATATATTCACAACATATTTACAAGATTTCATTTCATTAATTGTAATGGTATTCATTTCAATAATAAATAAGTGAAAATATATCGACTCAAGTAAGAAAACCAAGCTACCAAGTTTGAAAGAAAAACAAACAAACAAACAAACAAACAAAACTCTGCGGCAGTTGCTAGCCGAGTCCTCCTCCATCCCAACCCTGTGGGACGCCTTCCAAAGCCCGGCCCTCTCACACGGGGACTCCCAAACCCTGTGGTCATCATTCAGTCAGAACTCGCCCGTCAGATTGTGGGGGGGAAAAAACAAAAAAACAAAAAACCTCGACAAAATGTGCTCGTGTTTGGTGCTCATTTTTTAGCGGGGTTTAGTCAGTGGAGTCCCTCAGGGAAGCGGTCGGAAAGAGCTCCCCGTGATGGGCAGCTGGTGGAAGACCCCGTGGCAGTTTTTGAGAGTGTGGATGAGTCGACGTGGCGGGGTTTCAAACACAGGTTGAAGGAGCTAAGGACCGGTCGGGAGGGGAATGGAGGGCGGGACGGGCAGGCGTGGCAGAAGGAGGTTCTTCAGTCCTGCGCTCTGCTTCCTTCCAGACTCGCTACAGCTCACCGGCGGCTTTGCTCCTCTCGCCTTAGCGGACGTGTGAGGATGACGGAGGGCTTTCTCGAGGTTGTCCTTTTGGCGTTAGGCCTGGAGCGAACGTGTCAGTTCATAAAGGCATTTGGCGAGCGTGGTGGACACCTCCATGTTACTTAGTGCAAGCACGGAGAGATGTGGCTCGTGCTTCTTTACCAGCCTGAAAGCAAAAACGAGTCAGTCTTTGACTATAAGGTATAGTGGGACCTTGACTTGCACCTAATTTGTTCCATACCATATGAGTATTTCCTTGGCATCATCTTGGTGCCAAGTAACTGTGTTGAAGTACATTGAGGAGCTTCATGCAGTGTGCCTGGTGGGGTGTCAATTATTGTCCAATTTTCAGTGTTAGTTGCAGAGGTAGCGGTTCTGCATAGATTTTTATTTTTTTTGGGTGGGGGACCTTTCTATCAATATGAAGAAAAAGAACTGACCTGGTTCCAGTTTTTGTACTCAGGTCATTTGGTGGCACCTTGGTGCCAAGGACAGAATTGGAAGTGAGGAGCTTTTACAGTATATCAAATAAATGTTCCCCCATCGAAATGGCATTAATCTATTCAAGCCGCTCCCCAAATATTTTTTTCAAAATGTGTTTTTAGCATAAAAGGGAACGAAATAAACTGGTTTTAAATTCCTCTATGTCCTATAATATTCATGAGTTGCATGACTGCCTTTTAAGGGGCGTGGCCTAAGGACTGGCATGGTCAGTTAGTTCGTGAGCATCTGGGAGGGAATTGTGTGCTGCTTGCAAGTTTTGTCAGTTTGTATTTATTTGATCATTTGTTTCATGAATTATTTTTTTTTAAATAACATAAAACGACTTAAGGTGCATCAGCAACTGCGGCTCCCCTTGCTCACATGCAAGGGCATTCCTATATATTAATGGCTCCATTTTTACAGATGGCTCATAAGTTGGGGACACTCAGACGTCAAGGTACCACTTTATTCAGTCCTCAGACATGGTTTCCAAGCAGCATCATCAAGTGGACTCCATACTTACATGCGACCACAGTCCGAATGCTTGGCGATGTTCTTTAACGTTAAGGCAGCAGTTAGTCTGATGTGTTTGGTCACTGGTCCCTCCTTCTCGTCCTAGGATGGGGGAAACAACATCAGAACAGGAGATGAGTTGAGATAAATGTTTTCTCATCTACCCCAGGGTGTGTGCGGTTTTCAGAAAGCCAAAATTTAAGACTTTCTAAAAGTCAAAAACTTTCAATCGCGATTGTAGAAAGTATGACATTTTATAAGTAGCATGTACGCTTTCGCGATAAAATGTCAAATTTACGATTGTTCTGAACAAAAACCGGGAATCTTTTACAAAGTCAATTTGAAAAGCAGTTTGACACAAAGCACTTGCTGGTCGCACTCACCGTGAAGTCCCTGAAGACCAGGTTTCGAGAACCTCTACGGAGGGCCATGAGAGCTGCGCTCGGATGATTGACGATTGCTTTCGGTGGTCGCGCTGCCGGAGTACTGCCTGCCACCGGCGGCGTCCTGAAAACCAAACATTTCAAAAGCTGGGTTTGAAAACGGTTCTCCTCTGTCACTCAAATGACATGTCGGTATCATGTCAACGTTTATGCGTACTGGGAAGAAGTCGGGTTGGGGCTTTGCGCCTGCTGTTCCTCCAATCTGAGTCCAGCCAGCAAAGCTTCCCGAGAACAGTGCTTATCCTGGAGGTGAGGGGGGAGTTAAAAAAAAAATGTTTCAATGATATTAAAACTATAATCCAGGACGGTGGTTTTCAAACGCGTTGTCCCCAAGATTGGTTTCATTCAGTGTGGTTTTTACCTGAAGATGCGTGATGAACGAGAGTCTCTGTCGCGGGAAAGGATCGCATCCTTCCCACTGACACTGGCCGCCATACGCATCCTTGCCACCATGTTGCGTTGCCGCATGGTAAAAAACTTGGGAGGGCGTTTCGAACCACCTTGAGGAAGAACAAACCAACGGATAATTAACTCATTCACTCCCAAAGACGTTTTTAAACGTCTTTTCAGACTTGGTCTAGAATTGGCTGGTACTGAATGAGATAAGACTCCATTCCGAAAGCGGCGCGAGGCGAAGATTCATTCATCTTACCGTTTACAGGACTGCCAAAGACATTTGAAGTTCTGCCCCGCTTTCCTAGTTTGCTCGGGCGGT